CGAAATTTAAATTTTTTTTTCGCATAAAGTTTTTGAGATATTTGCAATTTACCGTTATTCAACTTAAAAAAATGGTTCCACTTAATCACGTATATCTTATACGAAATGTAGCAAATGAAACATAGAAAAACTCCCCATAAACAGTATATATGTATGAATGCACATCAGTTTTCTATAAACTTGGTATTTTTTGAGAAATTTATTAATCATTCCAGATTTCTTATTTTTTATGAAAAAAATAATAATAATTTAACAGAGAAAAAATTTAAGAAATAATAGATTTTTTTTTTAATTTTTTCATTTGTATTAAAGCCTTGTTTTTTACAAAAAAAAACAGGTAGTAATTTGAAAAGAAGAAAATCGGTGGATAAATAAAAAAAGTATAAAATACATATGAGCAGTTACTCATACGCCATGTACGATTATGTACATACATTTTCATATGACCTTTCACTTCTGTTTTATTCACATATCTATCGACTTTCTTCGTTAGCAGCATGCTTTTTTTTAAGGAACAGGTTTAGCACAAATGAAAAAATATTAGAGTTTCTCCCATTTTAAATTTGGATTTTTTTTATATTTTTTTTTAAGCTGAATAAAGGTAAATTACAAATATCGCGAAAACTTATATATGGAAAAAATACTAAATTTCGGAATCAGCAAGCGATTCTGCATAGGAATTGGATAGTGGCATCCGCTGCGCATTTTTGTTGTAAACCAGTGTTTAAATATAAAAATGTTATGATAATGTTATAAATATAAACAATTTTGTGTTTTTCTCTTGCATTTCTTGCTTTATTCCGACACTAAAAAAGTTGCTGTTTTTTGAAATGTTTTAAGTTTTTATTTGCCTTAACCTATGTATTTGAAAAAAATAATTATTTTTTGATATTCTAATAATTTGATTTGTGTTATAAGGTTAGATAAGTAGTTATAGTTTCCAGTTTTCATACAAAAATCCTATGAAAATTCACAATTTTGCTACTACCTCCCTTGCTACCAGCGATATACTTTTCAGCTTTAAATCGGTCTGGATCTTGCTTTAGCAACCGAATTAATGTCTGGCAAATTAATTTTAGATTCATTAGTACTTAAACAACGTCATATTAGATTTTGAGCTTTACTAAAATGATTTGAAAACAATTTTTTTTTTTAATTAAAAATGACGTCTGGCACAATAGGTGTGTACTCGTACGCCCAACTATCTAAAGTTTTAGAAAACTTTTACTGGTTTTGCGTTCTCGTACCCAAAAAACTTGCAAAGTAGGGGAAATTGAGAGAGCAAAATGTGAAAGAG